CACACACACACCACTCTCACACACACTCACACACACACACTCTCTCTCAAACACACACAGACACTTACACACACACACACACACACACACACACACACAGACACTCACACTTACACACACACACTCTCTCTCTCTCTCTCTCTCACACACACACACACACACACACACACACACACGTATATATATATATATATATATATATATATAGTTGGGCGGTGTTGTGAATGCTCCGCCCAGACTGATTGTTTATGTTGTGAATAATTAATGAGCGCTCGTGTCAGACAGTGACCCGCCCAGCGCAGATCAGCGGCGGACGGCTGCCTGAACCCGGCGAGCAGGCGGTCAGGACCGAGACACACACACACAGGTGAAGAGTTCCAGTGGCATCCATCCATATCTTGGGGAATATACTATTTTATTGTCCTGGTCGTGTAAATCTCTGATCATCTGTGGATACGAGCAGCTCGTCTGACCCGCCGCTGAACAGGTGAGTCTGTGCACCTTTACCTGTCCATCTGACGGAGACGCTGTGAGGGTGAGGATGTTATAACAATAATAGCGATCATTATTAAAACGACGGCTGAAGATGTTGTTGTTAGCCAGCTAACGAGCTAACTGACTGTTTGACTTTGACTTCACAACATAGCATCCGGCTAAATCCGCTGCTAACCGGCGACTAGCGAGATTAAATGGCTTAAACTAGTGTTTCGTATGAAGAAAACAGCTTGCCGACTGTCTTGTGTGTTTCGTGTCGAGGGTTAAGCTTCGGTTAAGCGGTCTGTTGAAGTGTGCTAGCTCAGCTAGCCGGTTAGCAGCTCACCTGCCACTGACTCACACTGAAGCACTACCTAACTTACTCTGTTACACTTCATGCGTGTGTTATTGTGAACACCACAGCGCAGGGACATCTGTATGTCAGGAGCTCATTAATGGGCTGTTGACATGTACCGAGCTGTAATTTATTCTAAACAAGCTGGTTGTTGAAGATTAGTGCTGGAGTTGTTCAGTTTAGGGTGACAGAAGTCAGGAACTTAACCTGCTTTTATGACTCGGTAATCATCGGGTTGCTGCTGCATCACAGATGTGTTTGTAGCTGTCACACTCCAGAATGATCGTTTGGTGTGAGAGTCATGATTATATCCTAGTCTGCACAACAACACATTAGTCTGAGAGTCACTGGTATCTCCTCCCAGCAGCATGGCTCAGCCGGTCATGGGAAACAACTGTCAGAAGAATCGCACTTGTTTTGAAGTGGAACTGTTTATTCAATGTTTAGACACAATTAGGGCTGTGACGATAACCGCATAACCGCGGTAATTAGATGCAGACCGCGGTGTTGAGGTCTTCACCGTCCTTTTTTTTAATTATTATTTTTTTTTGCTAGTGAAAGTTACAGAAG